CAATCAAATTCGTTTAGAGGGTACCAAGTGGTGATAAGTCTTAGAACCAAATTTTTACAAGAATAATAAGACAGGAATATTTACTTTCCTGGTTTGAAAATAAAAACCACTTGTATCTTATAGCATCAAAAACCTCATTAAATTACATTTTTCTATGAGAATTAAAAAAATATTTCATGTGATCTTCAAGTAGGACTACAAAGGAACAGTTCAGAATGTAGTGACACCTAATGGCAAAGATATCTCTATAGACCATAAATGTATTTCCTAATAAACATTATTTTTGTAACAATACTAAGTGTTGCTACTCATCAATGTTTTGTCTATAACCTGAAATACTATGATGATCCAATAGAAATGTAATACCTTATTTTTTGAAAATAAATACATGTAAATGAAGGAAGAAAAATCTTCTGAATTAAAAATCATAGCTTTAAAATTATGATATGTCTTCAAGATAAACTTATAGTATGATAAAATCAGCCTTAAAGATCAAAATAGAATGAAATGGATTGTCCATTGCTTCTAACAATTTCAACTGGTTTCTGTTTTTAGATAAAGCAAAAGTTAATCCCCTTGATTTTTATTCATATTTGCTTTTAAAATTATAGGAGATATTTATTAATAGTAGATGTATATGTCACCTAGAATAGAAACCAAACATAGTATAATGCCTTATTATGTTATTGTTGATATCTTTGATTAATAACATCGTATAACTTAATGCACATTCAAATTGTACTGCAAATAACTGTATTAATGATACAGAAAAGAATAATTGTTAAGCATGCTTCTTAATACTTTCTAGAACTTTACACTACCGATTATCCAGAACTTAGGGGGCAAACACTTACTGCAAGTAGCAGAAAGTTTAAGTAGCAGAAAGATTATCCAGAACTTAGGGGGCAAACACTTACTGCAAGTAGCAGAAAGTTTAAAAAATCATTGAGATATCTTATACAGTGCAAAGAGTCCTTGATGACTCCTGGATGCTATCATTAGCCAATGCAAATTGTGAAGAATTGAAAAAGAAACATTTAGTTAGAAGACAGGATACATCTGGGAATATCTTTACATTCTGTATTTCATAAAGTAGTCTTCAGTACAGAAGTAAAGAAAAACTGATGCTTTAAACTTACCATCTATTACTGTCTTTAATGTGTTGGTACCTTTCATTCACCCAATTTTCTACTTTAATTTGAACATTCTCATGGTGAAAATATTCTAGGGATTGTCTTAGGCTTCTCAAACATGTCATAGTTGATGATTACGATCTCAGAGTATAAAATATCATCTGCTTCTTTCCTACTCCCTGTTGACATAAGGTATTTTACTATGAATGATAACAACAAAAATATGCTAGTGATTTGTGTAATATATGAATAAGTACACTGAGTGTTCCCTTGTAGAGATATATAACTGAGTATAGTTAATTTATACTCAGTTCTGTAAGCACAGAAACCAGATAAAGAAATGAGCATATATTAAACTGTTAAAACATGAGATCCTCCATATTAGATATGAAGCAAAACACAAACTGTGCAGTTGACTGGAAATGCCACCTAATCCCTGCTTAATTAAAGAAGTGCTCTAAACTCCTGTTGTGTTTAGGGAGTAAAGAGTGTGGGATGACTGATGTATGAAGAAAATAGCAGTCAGCGTGGCTAATCTCAAAGACTTTGGAGCTTTCTAGCTACATAAATCAGAGTGACTTCTGAATAGCCTCATAAAATACAATATCATTGTCATTCCACTCACGACTTTTTGGTTCTTCCTACAGCATGCAGATCATTAGGAAACTTCTAAGCAATCAAGTAATGTGGGTCTGATGAAATTAATCAATGCACAAGCTCAGAGTAGAAACATAATTCAAAATTGCATAGTTTTTATATGTCAAAAGACCTTCTATTGAGGCAAAGATCACCATGGAGGTAATTCATTTCTAAACACTGTTTGTGTATGGGTGTGTTCATGTGTATTAAACAAACATGTGTAATTATCAGATATCTTTAAAATATGATTTAACAGAAACTCAAAGTAATTGCAGTATTATGCTTTATTGACTGAAAGAAATACATTTTCATTTCATTTATCATGGCTTAACCATTATATATCATGATTGGCCTGAACTAATGTGCTCAATAAAATATTAGAGTTTAAAATATGTAATTGATTTTATTAACCTACCTGCATGAAGTAAAAACAAGGACAAATCAAGAAGGAAGAAAAGATTTTTCATACATACAATCTGGTTCAATACCGAAAGGACTCAATATTTAAAGAACCTATTAGAGCAGTGTCTTTTTATCTTTCCAGTTTGCCAGAACTACATATTGCAGCTACTTTCTACTTGAACACATCACTTGAAGCTAAGAAAACCTTTCATTTCTGCATATCTCCTTATATCTGTAGAGTTGAAATATTCCCTTTCCCTCCAGTTTTATCTCTTTCATTCCGTTAGTCCTGAACTAATAAATCTCCCCATAAGCATATTTCTCACATTAACTATTTAAATGAAGGCAATCACCTCCCAATGAAAATTAATTCTGTTTTCCTATTCAACCAAGTAAGTAAACTGATTCAATTCATGTTAACTGGTGCTTTACAAGTTTAATATGGACATTCAGTTTTCAATTCATTATACTTTTACTGAATGGGGGTAGAGGCAGGAGGGGCTTTTAACTTCTGAAGTACATACAGATTAGCTTTGATCATTTTTTTTAAATTTGGGAGTTAACATTTTGCAGTATATTATAAAAGATGAAGCTTTCGAAACAATTTGCTAGCGTCATGGCAATATTAGGTAGTCTACAAAGGAAGCTAATTCTCTTGTCTAATGTCCTAATTGCATTCAAGTCAAATTAATGGTCTCATAAGTAACTATTTCTTTTACTAGGACACACACAGTCATTGCATACAATCAGCTTTCTAAAGAAATCTGTAATTTGTACATAGTTACTTTTTTAAAAAAACATGGTTATGAATAAGTCACACTGACAGACAACAGCATACAAAGAAAAAGAACACGTAACAGTTGTGTATGTTTTGAAATACCCAGACTACACTGCAAAATAGTATTCATCTGGTAAAGGACAGCGAGAGCTGTAGGTGTTTGTAAATAATGTATTTATCGTGTAGACCACAGAATAACCAATAAAATAGGCATTTTTTCCCCACAAACCTTCCCTCCAGAGGGATGAGGAGCATAAGTCAGAAACCCCTAGTCATAAAATGAATATAAATGTATTATGATTGTTTATCTGCATTCCTGCTTCAGTCATTTACAACTGGACATAAATGTATGCCATTTCTTTAAGAGGAGCATAGTTCATTTCTGAACTCTATCAGAACATTACTGAACCACTCAATGAGACCATAATTTCTCCCTGAAAAGTTCTAAACCCACAGGCAATGTTAGCCTCCAGGCAAAACGGGATCCAGCAGGCAAGCTATCTAGAGCTTAATTTAGGTAATGCACAGTGCTAAGTTTTCCGAATCCTGACCTCATCCCCCCTTGCACAGAGACGTGTACAGCTCTACTGACATAAATGACAGAGAATGGCAGACATGTTTACAAAGAGTCTCTGAGACCAAGAGAGGGAGCCCCCTGGAGCTGAGGGGCTGGCCGCTGTGGGCGCACACACCAGACAGAAGGCTGTCGCTTGGGCAGGCACAACCGCCACCTGCAGCAGGTTCCTCTACTAGGAGAGAGAGAGAGAGAGACAGAGAGAGAGAGAGAGAGGAGTTGCGCGGTGGAATGGCAGGGGTACGGAAAGGGGAGAAGCTGTGACCCATCTGTCGCCTCGATTTGCAGAACACCATGCCCTGCGGACAGATAAGAGTCCAGTGCCCAGAAAAACTCCCCAATGGGGGCCTCTCTGCAGCCCAGCAAACGAACCTTGCTGGCCTGAGGACGCGAATTTTCCGAAAAGGAAATCGTCGCATTAACGCAGAAAAGGCAGCAAGAGCCGGTCCCCTCGCGGCTCGCACAGATTAGCAAGTGAGGAGAGTTGGAGCCCGGCGCCGCCGGCGCTGTGCATGATAATGACGCGCGGCCCCCGCCCGCCCGCCGCGGCCAGTGTCGGCCCGCCGGGCTGCCAATAGGTGGGGCCACGAGCAGCTCCGAGCCGGCTCGGCGGTCGGCCGTTCCCCGAGTCGCGGCGGCCCCCTGTAGCCCGGCGCTCTGCTCTCCGCCTCGCGCGGCAACTCAGACTTGACGGCGGGCAGAGGCGGATTGTCTGCCAGGCGGCCCCGGCCGCGGCCTGCGCGCCTCTGCTCCCCGCGCCCCGGGGCCGGCTTCGCCGCCGCGCGGGCGACTGTGAGGCAGAGAGGCGCGCAGCTCCCGGCCCTCGGCGACACCGCCGACCCCTCCCGCCACCGTCTCAGCGACTCCGCGCGAGGACCAGAAAGACAAGAGGACGTGAAGGGGAGACAGGGAGGCTGGGGGCGCCTCCGGCACCCCCGTCCCCGTCGCACTACGCTGCGGCGAACGCTGCCGCCTCACGTTGCAAAACCACCTGTTCGATCCGAAGGGAGCTCCCCCCGCCCCCACCCCACACCCCAGTTCTTTTCTCCTCACAGGTGACACCTCGGCTGTTCCCTCAGATTTCTTTCTTTCTTTTTTTTTTTTTAATGGAGCAAATGTACATCCGGGGAAAAATATGGAAGGTAGAGTCAATTAAACTTCCTCTCCCCCACACACGCGGAGAGTCCCCCCGCACTCCACAGCACACACGCACCCTGAGGTAAACTCGAGACCCCCACGCATCCGGCCCACATTCCGGAATTCTCCGCGAAACGACAGCACGAGTCCAGGTTCCAGAAGGCACAGCCTTCCAGAAAACCGGACAAGTGTGAGGGGAAGGGTAGAGGAAGGGGCAGTGCACCGAAGCCACCTCTAACGAGCCACACGGAGGGCGGTGAGGGGAAAGCTGAGGGGGAACACTGGCGAAGGAAAAACGATAAAAGTGTCCGCGAGCAGCACCAAAGCCTTTCCTTACCGATGTGAATGATCGAATCCGCATTCGCCGAGTCCCAGGTTCGAGACCACCAGATGGACAAAACCAAGAGCAAGGGGAAAACTTCCATCTCCTCCTATGCCGATTCTCTGGGAGGATGGATTTTCTTCCAGTATTTATTTTTAAAACCAGTCCGAAGAGTTTAAGGTCACGATAGAGTTTAGCGCAGTTTTTTTTTTTCTTTTTCTTTTCTAAATCCCTATTACCAGAGCGAAGCCTTTTATCGTCGCGGAGGAAGGCAGACGGAATGACAGAGAGAGCCCAGCCTGAGGAAACCTCCTTCGCAAAGCCGTGTCACTTGGAGGGGGATTTTGGCATCGCCAGAGTTGTTCGCAGTTTGGCTTTTGAGAAATGTATCCAGCCTCGGCTGCTCTCTCGGGCAGGGGGAGAGGCTGGAGCTCAGACCACGTCCATCGCTGCGCGGGGGCCGCGGGTCTCCGGTCCCGGCGCCGCCGCCGCAACTTCCAACTCCCCCCGCGCCGGATGTGCCCCCTCCCCGCGCCCTCCCCCACCCGCGCGCGCCCCCCGCCCCCGCCCCTCCGGCCCGCGGAGGATCTCGCCCGTCCTCGCCGCCAAAACCCAAGTGGGGGAGAGAGCGGCTCGGCGATTCCGGGCGGAGCGGCCGGGTTCCAGCAGGGAGCGGGGGGGTGGGGTGGGGAGAGCCCGCTCCGAGAGGGGCGGAAAAAGTGAACTTCAAGGTAATGCGGGTAGTAATGCGGAGAGAAGCCCGGTTCCTGCGCGCGGCGGCGGCGGCGGGGAGCGGAGCTCGGCGAGGCGGGCCCGGGGAGGCGGCTCGCTCGGGCGGGCGCGGTGGCGGGGGAGTCGCGCCGGCCGGGCCGGGCCGGAGGAGCGCGGCGGCCGCGGGCTGCAGGATGCTTCGGAAGCCGCTCGCCTGCCGGGATGCGGGGAGCGAGCAGCGAGCCTGGCAGCCTCCTCGGCACCAGCCCCGCGTTGCCTAGGAATGGATCACCTAGGAGAAGGAGCGAGCCCGAGAGAGAGCGGTGCTGTCAGGCGGAGAGAGGGGGAAACCGAGAGAGGAAGAGCTCCTCTCTAATAACCGCCTCCTCCCCCTATCTGCAATACAAGGGAGAAACAAAATAGTGCTCTCATTTCCCTCGGAATCTTCAACCCGGACTGAGAGAGGAAAAAGGCTGGACTGTAAGGGAAAAAAAAAAAAAAAAAAAAGGACATTGAAGCCCCCTCCTCCACCACCACCCCCCTTTTTTTTTTCTCTTTTACGAGGTTAAAAGCAACCTAAAAAAGCCACCCCACTTATTTAACCTTGCTGTTCTCCAACAGGTATCAGACTTTTTTTTTTCTAGTCTTTGACTGGAATTAGTCACATTGGTTAAAACAAATTAGGGACACCTGGTCACTTAGGGAAAAGGAGACCTAGAAAGCTTTTAATGAGATTTCAATTATAAAGTTATAAAAAGGAGAGAACGTGCTAATTACCTTTTCATACAGTGATTTTTTTTTTCCGTCTCCAGTGTATTTTTTAGGCAATCAGGATAGAGAAAGGATCTTGAAATCCTTTCTATAGATAGAAATCCTTCTTTAGCAGTATAGAGATCTTGGAATTAAAAAATAGGATAATTAAATAAAACAGAAATACAAAATGCCCCTTTGAAATATTTGGTCAAACTATTTCATTGACTAACTTAATAACCTATGCAGATACATTCAGAATGAGGAAGTCGGTTGCTCTTCCATGGAAAGAGCTGAGGAAGTACTGAATGACAGCCTCCCTGTCTCCCCTGAAAGGATTTTCCACAAGCTTATTCCTTGATATACAATCCTGATCCTTATGACTTCCTTTCTTCCACAGGTTAATTTATATCAATCTGGCCTCATTGCAGACTGAAGATTTGTTAACACGATCAATCTAGTTGAGGTGAGATATAAATGGCCTAATATTGTTTCAATTATAGTTGGAATCCTTTGGGAATGTTAGATGTACAGATGCCAACTTATAAAACCACCTTTGAGAGCCTTAACTCCAAGTTTGGCAAACCTCTTTTCTTTGTATTCTCTCACTTGAGCCCTTCTCTCTAGCCTGGTAAACTGGGTTATTGTTTCTGCAAACACAGTTGTACATTCTCACCTCTCCAAATGCTCTTGTTCATTCATATTGTACATTTTTCCCCCGAGCATTCCAAAAACGGTGTGTTGCCATATTGTTACTTATGTTAATATTTCTGTTTGGAAAGTGTATACTCATGCTCCCAACCACTCTCTTTCACCACCTCAAGGGCCAGTTCACATTCTTTTTGCCCATGAAGTGACGTCCAATCCTTTAATATGAAATAAATCCATCCGTCTTCTATGCTCTTGTAGTGTAGCACACTCTACCTTTGTATTACCATTAGGCAGGACTACTTCTGAATTAGATCATCAATGCCTTGAGAGTAAACGCTATACCTTATTCACATATTATTCAATACAGCATTTTACAAAGAACCCCTTTGTTGACTTGAATTTCATCACTTTCTTTTGAATCTGGAACAAACCAGTACTTCCAAGAAGCTATCTCTGATTAATTCCTCTCAATTTTGATCATTCCTTTATATTTTTTTCCATTAGTACATAAAGACTAATGACATTGATTACATTAATGTCATTTTACTTTTTGAAGAGTTTTGATGCAGTTTAATGGATTATACTTTGTTGATACAGATATAGTATCAACAGCATTTAAGGAAGGGATCTCCTTATAGTTTGCTTCTATTATATTATTTACAGGGTCATTTTAAAAATTAATGATTCACTATACATTCTATCAAAAAAATTGAGAAATAACTATTTAACATGGAAAGAATACTATAATATCTTAGAATTAGAGAACTGGGAGGAGCTTCAAAACATTAACTGATCCAATCCTGGTCTAATAAATATCCTTTCTGAGGATGGCTAAATATTTTATAGACTTATCCCTACTATTTCCTCTCTTGGAAATCTATTTTAATGTACTATGAGCAAGACATTTTCATTATTCCCAAATCCTCCAAGTTAGTGGTTTTCAAATGTAGTTTTATTTTAAAATAATCTGGAAAGCTTTTCAAAAAGATCACTTATGGCTAATTAAATCAGAATCTCTGGGGTTTGGGGCCTGTTCTATTATATAATATATTCTAAAACTTTTACAGGTAACTCTAATGAGCAGCCATAGCTCAGAACCACTGTTCTAATAATCAGACATTTAAATGAGTCTGGTTGGCACATCACCGAAAGTCATAAGGTATAAGGACCTCCTGCCAATCAGAAAAGATAATAGAACCCTGAGTTGTAGTTTTCCAAAAGTAACCCAGGAAAGTTAATGTAAAATTAAAGTATAATATTGGCTTATTGATTTTTCCAAATAATTTCTATACCCAATGTGTCCTAAATTAATGGTGTTTGTATCGAATATAAGTTTAATTATATTTTAATAATATGTTAGTTACATATATAATTAATACTATTTTAGAAAATCACATATGTAATATTTAGTTAGCTGTGTACAAATATTTATAATTTTAAGAGAGATTTTAAGTTCCAAAAGAAAATAAATAAATTCATTGTGGTTTTTTCCTTTTTTTTTTTAGAAGAGGCTTTCCCTCGGTCACCCAGGCTGGATTGCAATGGCACAATCATAGCTCACTGTAACCCTAAACTCCTGGACTCAAGCCATCCTTCTACCCCAGCCTCCAGAGTATGGGACTACAGGCTCCTGCCACCATACCCACCTAGTTTTTTTTCTATTTTTAAATTATAGAGGAGGAGGTCTCCCTGTGTTGTCCAGGCTGGTCTGGAACTCCTGGGTTCAAGCAATCCGTTCACCTTGGGCTCCCAAAGTGCTAGGATTACAGGCCACCATGCTTCACCTGGTTGTGCTTTTTTTTTTTTTTTTTTTGAGACAGAGTCTCACTTTGTTGCCCAGGCTAGAGTGAGAGCCGAGGCGTCAGCCTGGCTCACAGCAACCTCAATCTCCAGGGCTCAGCGATCCTTCTGCCTCAGCCTCCCGAGTAGCTGGGACTACAGGCATGCGCCCCCGTGCCTGGCTAATTTTTTGTATATATATTTTTAGTTGGTCAATTAATTTATTTCTATTTTTGGTAGAGACGGGGTCTCGCTCAGGCTGGTTTCGAACTCCTGACCTTGAGCAATCCGCCCGCCTTGGCCTCCCAAAGTGCTAGGATGACAGGCGTGAGCCGCCATGCCCGGCCTGGTTGTGCTGTTTAAATAGGCTTTTACTAAAGGCTCTTGGTCTCATTGAGGTTGCTTAGTTTTACATTTGGCCCCCTGTGGTGCAATTCAAACCTTCTGTAATTCTAGCATTGTTTGGAGGGAATATAGCCTTCATTCACTGAAGTTTTATAGCAAATGATTAACTTTTTATAATAAATATGCAAGTGAATCATCATTTGTGAATTTATTCTTTCAACATGGAGATGGTCACTTCATTCAGGCATTGAAATGAATTTTTCAATAATTTGAAGAAATGCTAGATAATCTGAACAGCTTTAAGATGTAAACTATAATACTTTTTTTTTTCATAGAAAAACAGAATTGGGGAGAAATATTAATTTGCATTGGTGGGGAAAGAGCAAGTGCAGACTCCTTCAATCATATACAATTGTGAAAAGAAAGCAAGGTAATGAAAATCCTTGGACATATAATTCTTTCTTTTTCATGTTAAAAATGCTAACAATACCAATGCCTAAATTTTAAAACTCAGATCCTCACTTTTATGATGGCAGTAAGTCAACTTACATTAGTCAATTTTAAGGAAATCTTCAATAATATTTCAACAACTCATGAGTTTTATTTTGTTTCAGTATAAAAATCTAAAAATTTATAAGTTGACCTACTTGAAACTTAAAGAGTTAGGTTTTAAAAGAATATCATCAAAAATGGGATATAACAAACTTTGATAATTATTTCTAATTCTCTATAATTATATCATTAATATTATAAATATGATTAGCCACACAAAAGATTCTAAATACAGTACAACCTTAACCTAAGGATGAAGGAAAAGCTATAAAAGTATAATGACTGACTTTCTATAGATGCAGGTAGTTGTGGTGGATGACTGCAAAATTATAATGAAGACATTTATTTACAGAGGAAAAAATATAAATGTTCTTTGGTAGAGATACTGAAAGGTTAATTTTTGTACTTAGCAAATTAAAGTTCAAAGTTCAATGGGACTTCAGGGGCTCTGTTATTCAATGTTTTGCTTTTCTAGAAGAGGGTAGGGAAATTGAGTCCCAGAAGTTGTACTGATATTTGTTGGAAGAGTTGAACTTAGAAAACACATATTTTTGTTTTTAAATAAGCTTTGAAAAATTATTAAATCACATATTCCTATATGATATAGTATATAACATAATTTATGTTGAGTATACTTTGTTCTTATTTGTTTTCAGATCAACTTCTCACTGACTTACCACTTAACTACTTTGTCAAAGCATTTTGTCAATGACATTAGTACAAATTTTATCCTCAGTGATAAGTGATAACTCCTTCCCTCTTTCCCTCTCTCTCTCCTGGCTTCCATTCTTCCTTCCCTCCCTCCTTCCTTCCTTCCTTCCTTCCTTCCTTCCTTCCTTCCTTCCTTCCTTCCTTCCTTCCTTCCTTCCTTCCTTCTTTCCTCCCTCCCTCCCTCCCTCCCTTCCTTCCTCTCTTCCTTCCCTTCTTCCATCTAAAATAAGCTTATAATCTCTTCCTTATTTTTAAAATTGTTCCTAAATCTGTGAGGTTGCCCATCAAAGGCAGTGTCATTTTCTCTTCTATCTCAATGAGATGTAAATTCTAGCCTAATTTGCAACTTAAATGTTTGATAAATATAAATGCTTTATCAAAGTCATCTATTATTAAAGTTAATTCAAGTGAAAAACTTAGAATTTCAAAGCTTTTTCAGTGTCCATATGTCAGCCAAGATATTGAACTTTTAGGAACAGGGACTCATATATACTGATAGATCTTTTAGTTGCCTACCTCTTCTGTCTGAATGTCGATATGGCATTTGAAGATAAATATTAATAAACATCAAGCAACTAGTTGATAGAGATCAAATGGTGACTTGTAACCCAAAAGGGGCACCTTATTGAGATTGGCCCCTCAGTACATTATATCCTGTCCCCACAAGATGGCAGCCATGCTTGATGTAGATTTAATCAGCTTACTTTTTGAATGTGTCAATACTAACAGTTTATCAGAGTATTATTAACTCATAGTAGTTGAATAGCTACAATGATGGAAACTTCTCAACATTTAAGTGGTAATTTTTAGATAACTTGATTTTCTCAGGTTTTATTGCTTCTAAAACTTTCACATAGCAGTAATAGGTTTCAATTAGGAGGCCATTATAATATGCCTTATTGACATCTTGTCTCGTTTGAACAGTTACTTAGGAATTAAATATCAATGGAGCAATCTTTAATAATATGGTACTAAGTCTTGTGTTGAAAGATAATTAGACACTGGCACAATATTTTGTGATTCATAATTTTAGTGTAAATATTAAAATTTCAAAAATGACTTTAACTATTTGCTTTTTCTAAAGAAAAAATATTTTATATATCTTGAGTTATGCAATTATACTTTGCCATGGAAAATAAATTTTCTATCAATTATATGATTGATCATTCTGGTGTGGCATATCAGTTTGAGGCAAATGTCTGAGCAGGTCAAAAGAAAAAAGAAAATGCATTAAGCCAAGTATAGGGAATATCAATTATCATTTAAAATTCTTTAAAAATCAAATTTTACTGTCTTCCCATGATTATTTTAATTATGAAATTAATTATTCTTTGAAACACTTTTCTAAACATGTAAGTGACTTAAGATACAAAGTATACTTGTGGCCGGGCGCGGTGGCTCACGCCTGTAATCCTAGCTCTTGGGAGGCCGAGGCGGGCGGATTGCTCAAGGTCAGGAGTTCAAAACCAGCCTGAGCAAGAGCGAGACCCCGTCTCTACTATAAATAGAAAGAAATTAATTGGCCAACTGATATATATATATAAAAAAAAAAAAATTAGCTGGGCATGGTGGCGCATGCCTGTAGTCCCAGCTACTCGGGAGGCTGAGGCAGGAGGATTGCTCGAGCCCAGGAGTTTGAGGTTGCTGTGAGCTAAGATTCTGTCTCTTAAAAAAAAAAAAAAAAAAAAAAAAAAAAAAAAAAAAAAAAGTATACTTGTGGAGTATGCTGCTGGTAATTAACCATACATTTATTTAAAATGTATTTTATAGTAGCACATACCATTAGGAAAATGTAAATAAAGAAACAAAAGCTTGATCAGTATTCATTTATAATATATCTATGTATTGGCTTTGGAGATTTCAAAGAAGTCATATAAGTTTATAAACATTTCACTTCTTAGTGGGTAAGGACATAATCAGCATAGACTTAAATAATTTTCTTACCTCATCAGTTCTGCAAATTGATGGTGAATTTAAGTGTTTTAACTGATTATTAATAAGTGAAAGAACTAATGAGTGAATGAAAGGATAAAATAAAAATTTTAAAATATTGTGGAATATTAGTTATGCAACATAAAATGAGGTCATCTCAACTCACTCCAAAATAAACAGATTACTGAGCTATCAAAGTGATCTTTTCATAAGATTATTTTGCCTTTTTATCTGTCACATAGTTTGCAACTCAGATATCGAGGTTATCTGTTTGGTCTAGAGCATATGGATGATGGTTTCAAAGGGTTCTTTGGAAGATATCAATAAAAATTATCTAAGCAACAGAAGCCAAAATATGAATATCTGCCCAAATTTAGCTTGACCTATTTGCAGTTTGGTTTATATTACTAAGTGAATATAATGTAGTGGGGCGGTAGGGGGAAGGGAGGACCTGAAATTTTAGGTTAGATCTCAGAGACTTCATCTAAAGTTTGTTAATGTAAAATTAGTTATATTATCAACACTTTGTTTCCTATCCTTTTTTTAAAACTTTGCTACAGTAACACATTTTTTTATTTCCTTAAGAGAGAGTTAAACCATAAAGAATTAGACAGAACAACATCAAAGTTGTGAAAATGAGACAATATTTAACAATTTTTAAATGCCAGTCTTGTTAGAAATATCTGAACCAGCATTTCCCACATTGGGTTCTATAGAATACTTTGTTGTGGAAAAAAGACAGAAAGAGAGAAGTTTGGTGGCCATAAACAATGGCAAAATGTTAGAGTTTTCTTGTCTTACAGATCCACAGTGTACATTAATATATTAAAAGTCAGGAGAAGTCCTCTAAGAAACAAGTCATTAACTTGTATTTAAACCAGTGTATTCCAAACGTTTTTAATCATCAATTTTCCTTTTTATAGCACAATGAACATCCTTTGTTATACTGTTGCAATCCGTTTTCTAAGTGCTAAAGGCATGATGAAGGTGGAACAGCCTCAAAATATAGTCCACTTCCCTGGACCCTTCTCTCTAAGAAGAATGAAAAAGAAGCTTTAAGCTCCAGAAGGAGGAACAGCAAACTGCCTTGTCCCCAGGGCCCAGGCATAGATCCAATGCTTTATGTAAAAGAAAAACTCATCAGCCTCTGGAAAAGTGTTAGTAAACCCTCTGTCCTAACACCAAGAACCAGAGCAAAGATCACTGTTTTGAGGAGTGAAAGAATCAAAATTGTCTTTCCCTAGGAGAAGGACATGTAAACCTTTATGGGTCAGGGTACTATGCCAATATATAGCAGAGGTATGTTATTGCTGCAGACAGGGAAGAACAAAAAGTAACTCTCCTGTTTAAGGTTCTCTGAGATACAAATTTGAATAGAGTTGTCTTGGGGAGGAGAGAGAATAACAGCAAGACCCCAGTCCTGACACTCAGGCATATAGGTGTTGTCTAAGACTGAGTCTGTACCAGAAGAACCAAAAATCCATACCCTGCCTCCACCAGAAGCTAGCATTGAGTAAGAAACAATACCAGTCTACTACTGTTAGAGAGGAAGGAGTGTGAAGAGAGAGAGAGAGAGAGACAGACCCTCTCTCTATTTGGCACAGTCATGAGGTAGATTCTGGAAAGTGAGATGGAGCAGAAAAAAATTGAGAAAATGCTCTGATATGCCAGGCTTCACTCTTATCACATGGTTCAGGCAGCCTACCATTGAAGGGGTTAGAAGACTGGGTTGCAATGTGGCTAATGATATCAAAAGAAAAACCCAAACACAATTAAATTATTCACTATCCTCCTAAGAGAAGAATAGTACTCATTTCCAGCTACAAATGCTCTTCACCTCAGACTCAACTGTTCAATTCACAATGTTCAGCATTCATTCAAAAATGATAAGACAAACAAAATAGCAAGAAAAAGCAAGGCCACTTTATCACTTCTAGTGATAAAACAATCACTAGAAGCAGTTTCAGCAATTAGATGTTGAAACTATCAGTTAGGAACTTTATAATAACTATGATTTAACATGTTAAAGAATATCGTGATCAAGGTGAGTAACATACATGGACAGAGAATTTTAACAGAAAAATGAAGACTATTCAAATAACTCAAATAAAAATTCCTGAAATTTAAACCAATAACATTAATAAACCATGATATCCAAACATCCAAACTGAAGAATTACTTCAATGGGCTTGACATATCTGAAGAAGAAATTTGTGAGCTTTAAAGGTAGGTTGATATAAATTATCCAAAATTAAACACAAAGAAAAATTTTTAAAAAATACTGAGCAGAGAATAAAGGAGCTGTGAGACAATATCATATCGCCTGAGGTGTGCACTTTGATTCATAGAGTAAAGGAGAGAATGGGAAAAAAAGAAATATTAGCAAATGTACTATACATTTTTGCAATTGTGTTGTAATAAACATTCTAGTGCAGGTGTCTTTTTGATAAAATGACTTATTTTCCTTTGTATAAATACCCAGTAATGGGAAAAGTGGTTTTTTAAAGTTAAAAAAAAAAATTGCAAGGCATTGAAGATTGATAACCATGCCAGAAGTAAAATGTGTGAGAAAATAGCACAAAAAAGGTATTTCTGTACATCTATGAGAATGGCTAAAATTAAATTAAGAAAGAAAGGATCGTAAAAAGTGCTGGCAAGAATGTGGAGCATGTGGAAATGCCATACACTTTGCCTATTGGAAAGTTAAAATTCTAAAGGAGTTTAACAATTTCTTATAAAGTTAAATATGCAATTAGCATTAGACATAGCAATCCTACTCATATATTTACAGAAGAGAAATAAAAGTGCATGTCCAAAATTAGACTTGTATATGAATATTTTCAGCTACTTTGTCCGTCCTTGCCCCAAATTGGAAATAACCCTAAAATCCATACACCAATGAAGAGATAAATTATTTTACGCTCATATAAGTTAATGCTACTCAGTAATAAAAAGGAGTAAACTCTCAATATGTGCATCGATATAGCTGAAGTCAAAAGCATATACACACAGAGGGAAGCCAGAAATACAGAGTATTATATATACTTTTGATCTATTGACACTCAGGAAAATGTGAAACTATAGAAACAGAAATGAGATTAGTGGTATCCAGACACTGAGGGTGATAGAAGGAGATTATCTACAAAGGGTCTTGAGGAGAAATCTTTTGAAGGTAATGGAAATGTTCTTTCTTAATGGAGTAGTTATAGAATTGTATACATTTGTAAAAAATCATCAAACTACACAGAAAGAGTGAGTTTTTCTACATATAAATTATATGTAAACAAACCTAACTTTGCAAGTGAAGTACAGCACATGAAAACTTATGGCTCATTTTTCATTGTAACATTCCAAAACCTTGAGATTAGATAAAATGCAAGTCAATGCAACAAGCGACTGGGACATTGTACTAGATCAACAAACATTACTTCTAATGTAAGTCTGATTGATTTTTTCTTTTATTAATTTTGATTAATACAGCTTCCATATTTAAACAGTAATTTGATCTAATTTTCTATTTTTAATTTACTAGAAAGGAAACTTTTACAGAGGCTATTGAAATCCAAATTTTCAAGAAATAACCACTATCCTCTCCACTTCCCCCAACACAGAGCCACCATAGCAAAAGTAATGTATCATACAACAAAGTGACTCAATAAATCCTCTCATTCTTTAAGTAGTTTTAAAAACTGTCACAACTTTGCTGAATATTTTAATATATTCTCAATGAGTAAATCCTTTACATTTGTCTTCATACTTTAATTTAGCTCCAGTCACAAATGTCATCAGAAAAATAAGTCAATGTTAGCCACCTTCCTATTTTGTTGCAGTTCAAATCATCCATTTCCAATATACATTTTGAAATATCAAATTTTGCCAAGGATTTCAGGCGTGTGGAGGTAAGCAATGGGTTAAAATAGTACATTATACCCCACTCACAATTATAAAACAGAATCACTGAATTTCTGAAAAGATAACTTGAAAATGGTTAATTACATTTTTAATCAATGTATATATTTTTTCAATTAAGATTATGCATTCATTTCCTCATATTTGAGTAGGCTTAAGATATTTTTCTGCTTCAACTCAAAGATTCCCAACCATCAAAATAAAGATTATAACCTCTCTGAAATATTTCAACGCATTAAACATAATTTCCTCTTCTCAGAATTTGGATCCACCTTTTTACCATGACATACAACATCATTATAGTTGACATTTTCCTCATTGTACAATATTTCTATCATAAATTAAGACAGAGTCATTAATTCTGGTGATAATGACAAGAAGGAAACAACTAACATGATAAATTATTGATGCTGGTTATAAAGATAAATTTAATAAGAAAAATATTGTTTATGCAGTTACCATAGTAAAGAACCAAGCAATCTTTTTCACTGTTGGAATAATTAAATTTCCAAACTAACATTTTTAAATCCCCCAGGGAAATGTCCCTATAGTCTTATATAATAATATATTTTAATCTTGTACTGATTTATATATAATAAACTAAATGCATTTTAAATATAATTTTTAACAAAACATTATTCAGATTATAAAATGATCTCCTAAATCTGTGGTTCCTAACCCCTAAGCCATGGTCTGGTACCCATCCATGGCCTGTTGGGAACCAGGCCACACAGCAGGAGGTGAGTGGCAGGCAAGAGAGCAAAGCTTCATCTTTATTTACAGCCACTCTGCATCATTCGTATCACTGCCTGAGCTCTGCCTCCTGTTAGCTCAATCATTGTCTCCCATCACTCCCAGATGGGACCATCTAGTTTCAGGAAAACAAACTCCGGACTCCCACTGATTCTGCATTATGATGAGTTGTTTAATTATTTTATTATATATTACAATGTAATAATAATAGAAATAAAGTGCACAATGATCATAATGCACTGAATCATCCCAAAACCATCCTACCTGCCCCCTTCCGTGGAAAAATTGTCTTCCATGAAATCAGTCCCTGGTGCCAAAAAGGTTAGGAACTGCTGTCCTAAATGGCATCCCAATTATGACCTTAGGTCTACCTTGCTGATACAACTTTTCTCTAGTAAAATATGAATCTTTTTCATTTTGACTCAGATGGTTTCTGGTTGAGGAGGTATTTCTTGAATAAGGGAAGGAATATTTCTCAAGTGTTTGGAACTGTGGCTACTTATTTTATAATGCTTGTGCTTTCTTCTGGTCTTTTCAGGCAAATGAAAAATACTGACCAAAAACTGCAGGGAAAACTCCTAAGTGGTTCTTACTTACATTTTTGAACAGTTGTTGTAGATCAACAAAGCAGCATCCACAGTTGAGATTAACAATCAAGGTAAATGGTTTTAGTGTGCAATGAACAGATCTCCTATTTTGTGAGGTACTTTTTTCTTTTCTCCTCTCCAATTGAAGCAAGACTCCACTGTTTAGATGATTCTTAGCATATAAGGGTAAAAATCACAAATATTCATTAATAAATACAATGAATAAATATGTTTTGAATGACAATTAGTTCATAAAATAGTCTCTTTCAAGGAAAATGAAGATAAAAAAAAATTAAAATACGATGACAAATAAGCCGAGCATGGTGGTTTACACCTGTAATCCCAGCTACTCAGGAGGCTGAGGCAGGAGGATTGCTTGATTCTAGGTGTTCAAGGCTTCAGTGAGCTATTAATATGATTGTGCTACTGCCCTCCAGCTGGGTGACAGAGCAAGACAACATCTCTTTAAAAAAGGGATGAATAATTAAGTTGTTTACTATAGTCTGATTACTAAAAATAAAGAAGTATAAATGATGAACATTTAAACACAAATAAAAATGTTACCTACCTGGATGAATGAAAAATTTTTAACATGTAGGTATGGTGGCATTTTTATAAATCTAAAAAATATTATTTTAAGGCAACAAATTCATCTAAATTTTGTTGAAATTTTCTATTAAAGCAATGAGTAATATTTTAAAATGTTGCCACTGTTTGATAAGAATATAGGCTGATTTTTTTGTCTTTGGTGCTTCTATTTCTTTTCCAAGTTTTCTTTAATTAACCTCTATTAATTTACCACAAATAGTAACTTTTAAAAAACGAGATCACCTTAGAATTTTTTACTTTGGTTTTTTTTTTGGAGACTCTCCCTCTGTCACCCTGGCTAGAGTGCTGTGGCATCAGCCTAGCTCACAGCAACCTCCAACTCCTGGGCTCAAGCAATCCTGCTGCCTCAGCCTCCTGAGTAGCTGGGACTACAGACATGCGCCACCATGCCCGGCTAATTTTTTTTTATATATATATTAGTTGGCCAATTAATTTCTTTCTATTTATAGTAGAGACAGGGTCTTGCTGTTGCTCAGGATGGTTTCGA